TCCTGGGGTTCTACCCCTGCAAGGCATTTCTGGACCTGGGGACCAAACAGGACAGGAAAGAAAATTGCAAACAACTCTGAGCACCAAAGAACAAACAGGTGAAAAATATAAAGCAATAATGAAAACATAGAGCATTGGAGGGCTATGTAATAGAAAAAATAGGGAACAAGATAATATTCAAAAATGCAGCAACTTCAGGTTGTCTGAAATAATACACAGAAAACATGAAGAGAAACCACTTGTTAAACTAAAAATCTCATATTTCAACATACCTTTTAGCTTCATGATGGACATTGCTACAGTGTCAAGAAAGTGAAATGGTATCTTCATAAGAAAAAGTAGTTGTCAATCTAGACTATTTTTATGAAATAAAGACCATTTTTTATAAACAAAAGTAGAAAATAAAGTTACTGAAACAGCTGACACCATAGAAGCTAAGTCTGTTGCCTCAAGAAGTAGAAGAATGAACTCGTGGACAAGAGGAGTAGTTAAAGGGAAGTGTTCACTGGAAGTGTGAAAAGAAAGCAGGCCCGGGGAGGGTAGCCTGGACGAGTCCCTGGAAGTGGAGTGCCAGTGTGAACTCCTTCCCTCAGTCATTTATGAGGTGGTGTTGCTGCTGCTGTTGTTTTGCTGTACCAGGGATCAAACTCCGGACCTTGCACTCACCAGTCAGGGGCTTAAGCTGCTGAACTCACTCTTCACCTTGATATATTGCCTACATCTTTTATGGGTAAGCCGGGTGTGGGGATTTTTCAGCTGCCCAGCGGTTGTCCGTCACAGGTGACCCCTTGGGTCTGAAATGCCCAGGGGTGTTAGGCTTTCTAATGCAGAGTTCATGAAAACTGGGTACATTTTACTCTATGCGTTCCACTCACTCCAGGAAGTGCTTTCGAGATCAGAGTCCTATTTATTATTCTCTGGTGTTTGCTTTTTATTAATTTTTTTTATTTCATTAAACATGTCTGCTTTTACACTCCTGAGCCTAGCAATATGCATAGCTCAGCTTAATCCACTGCCCATGTTGCTATCTTTGTGACACTGACCGGCAGATTCTGTCTTAGGTTCTGTCTCCTACCAGCTGCCTTCTTATGAGCTGAATAGCTGAACTTCCTCTTACATTGCCACCAAAGGATTTTAACTGAAGAAACTTCTAAGGTAGACTTTAAGAAGCCATGTAAGGACCAGCCAAATAGCTCAGCAGACTGAAGTGCCTGCTTAGGCAGATGCAGGGGCCAGGATTCAATTCCCTGCATGACATGCCGGCCCCACCCCTGGGGCATGCTGAGATGGCCATTGAGACTGGGAGTGTGGGCATGTGCCTGTAATCCCAGTGCTTGGGAGGCTGAAAACAGGAGGATCACTCTGAGTCCAATCTACATAGTGAGACCCTGTAGACCTTGTAGACCCTGTACTAAATACGAAAACAAACAGAAAAGCCATTTGAAAGGATATCTAAAGAAAAATGTGCAGTATGGAAAGAGATGATGAATATGATAAAAGTAATCAAGAGGATGACTCTTAAACAGTAGCATCTTTTTTCTAAAAAATGTCTATTTAAGTAATTTTAAGCTAAGTTAATAGACACTGTTCTCACAAAGAGGAAGGCAAAAAAATAGAATCTACACATTACGAGGCCCTTGTATTTTCAGAAAGGAAAGCAGTTCAGTATCCTTGGACTTGACATAGTGGACTGACATGCAAGCATGATCCAGATATAAAAGCTTGTGTCTTTGTATTAAGTTTGGTAAACGCCTCCTCTCCTAGTAGATGAATGGGTATTCGTTAACATAAGTTGGTGTCTTAGTTACTCTTCTCTCATTGCTCCGACAAATGCCTGACACCCAAAATTAGGGAAGGAAAGGTTTATTTAGCTCACAGTTAGTAGAGTTTTCAGTCCATACTAGGCTGGCTCCAAGGCAGCATGGCACATGGCAGAGAGCAGCCGTTCATGACACTGAAAAACAGCAAGACAGCAAGAGAAAACGGGAGAAGTAGCGGCAACAATGGCTGCAGAGAGCAAGTCTGTCTCCCTTACGCTGCATTCAGGCTTCCACCCCAGGCGGGGTACAGTAGTCACACCCATAATCCCAGCAGCACTCACACCCATAATCCCAGTGGATCATGAGTTAATCACAAACTCTAGAAGTCCCACCCCATGACTGCATGAGCTTTAGGGGGACAACTAGACACAAACCATAACAGTCGGTATTTCATCTTCCTACCACCTCTCTCCTTTGAGTCAGAAACACTGAGTTTTACATTGATAATTCTTTCCCTTACTCCATTCACTGTGTTTACCTCACAACTGTGCTGACAATTCTTTCCCATTTCATGTATATCATTCCACTCATTCCACAGCCCTCACAAGGACCAGGGCTTCCCTCCTGATGTGGACCCGTTGTGTTCCATAGACTGGGTACAGGATTTAAAGACAGAAGAGCTGACTCTACCCCTACAGCACCCTGTCAGCCTCCTACAGAGTCCCCCTTTTCTCTGAATTCCACCTTTTTACACTTGCTTGTTTGTGGAAGTAGTAACCGTGCCTTGCTCTGAGGATCATGCTGTGAGTCAGGTGGATTGGCATATGTCTGTCACTCATGTCACTGCTGTTACAGTATACTAGCAATATATTGATGAGCACTTGCTTCTGAGTTATCCTGTCGAGAGCATCATGTATTGCTTCACTTTTGTTCTAAAGAACTAAATTATACCTGACAAAAGGCAAGATTAAGTCCTACTTCTCTAGAAAGATGGGTCAGAAATGGTGCAGCAGAGGGTGGCTTAGCATTAGTGACTCAACAGTGATGCTTAAGATCACATCCTAGGGTCTTAACCATCCAGTAGAAAAGTATGAAGACGAAATATAAGAAATAAAGCCATGCTGTTAAGTTAAGCTGTGGGGGACTCAGGTCAATAATTTCTGACATTGCCAGTTAAACAGAAGACCCAATGCTATTATGGGCTACTGGACTCTTTTAGAATATTTTGCTGAGTTTACACACCTATAATATTCAATAACGGAACTTAGGAAAAATGGGGTACACCGATGAATGTCCATTCTGTATCTGTGTATTCCAAGTGGTTGGGGTAGATATATAGTTGCATTGTCTTAATGAATAGAATGATTTGTTCTAATGGTGTTTGTAAATAGGATCACAAGTCCGCATCTTGTACAGCAATTAACCACTAAGAAGAATATATGCAGTGTATTATTTGTTGAAACTGTACTTCCGATTTGATTTGAAACTGTCTCATTGCTATCTGTTTAACAATAAAACTGTAGAAAAAATAAATAAATAAATAAATAAATAAATAAATAAATAAAGATCACATCCTAGGACCAGTCAGATAGCTCGGGACTAACATGCCTGCTTAGGCAAACACGGGCACCAGCGTTCGATCCCAGGCATGCCATGCTAGCCCCACCCCCCGGGTATGCTGAGAGGGTGACTGAGACTGGTTTGGTGGTGCCCACATGTAATCCCAGTGCTTTAGAGGCTGAAAACAGAATGACTAGGAGTCCAATCTGTGTAGCGAGACCCTGTAGACTCTACTAAATGCATTAAAAACAAATTATATCTATGCTAGACAGCTCTGTGGAATCTGTTTCTAGGAGATTTTGTATATTTACATAGATCCATAGACACATTTTACTTTGAAAACTGAAAGATTTGTGCATTTTTTTTTCTTTTATCCTTTCGATACAGGTTCTCACTATGCAGCTTGGGCTCATAGTGATCTTCCTTCCTGTCTCAGCCTCCCCAGCACTGGGATTACAGGCATGAGCCACCACACCCTGTTTTGGGACCAGCACAATGCAACTAGAGTTCTGGGGCCAGCACTGCCTCTGGTACCAGGGATCAAACTTGAGGCCTTGTACTTACCAGGCAGGCACTTAAGCCACTGGGCTTTTTCGCCAGCTTGAGATTTGTGCATGTTGAACTGAACTTCTCGTAAATTCCTTTCATCATTTAGCCGGTGCTGCGCCTTAAATTGTACAGGTGACCCTCATTTTAAAATAAAGCAGCTGAAGTCTTGAGATGTCGGGCAGCAGTTTCCAAGGTAGGGTTGGGCGAGGGAGGATGGGTGTGAAGCACCATGAGGTCTCAAGGGGCTTCAAGCCAGGCTGTCTGCTTTCCTGCACTATCTCCCCTGAACCGTGTGCCTCTGACCCTGCTCTCTGCCGGCTCTGTCAGCTCCCTCAGGCCACCTCTGTGTGCTGTGTTCGCACATACGCAGTGTCAGAATTTGTCTGTTGAACAGCAGAGTAAATATTTTATTTTATGTTGGATCTATGGTTCTCTTTTATATTAATCGCTGGTCTTCTTTAAGGAGGTTACAGGCTGGTTATTTTGATCATATATCTTGGAGTGCACGCTGCTAAACCTCCCCTGTGCAAGCAGCACGGGTGGTAGTTTTAATTTCCCCTGGAAGCCTGCAGAGCGGGTGCTGTGAGGCCTTTCTTGCCAGGTGCACGTCTCAGTGTGGTGCTGGCAGGAGCGCTGAAGCTCTGTAGGTGGACAGTCGCCTCCTCGCTGCTAGCCGAAGAGCTCCCAGTGTTCGGTCAAAGGAGATTTAAATGATTTGCTTAAGAATATACTTCCTAAATGAATAAGATATCCAAGACAAATGTCCCAAAGACAGTAAGATATTTGAGAAAGAGGCTAAGTAAATGGTCTTACCTATCATTTGGACCAAGACATTTAGACACGTGACATTTAGGTGATATCATTGTGTAGCTACAGATTTTAATCTGTTTAGTCTAGCATTAAGACCAGACACAAAACCATTTTGCTAATGCATACTTGTACTAGAACAATTTGTAAAGATTCATTAAATAGCTAGAAATATTCTTCTTTGTACTCCAGAAAATAAACAAGAAAGCATCAAAGCTTCTAAAAGAATTGATTAGGAGAATGGCTACAGCGGTGCCTTATGTCTGCCTTGCTTTCGGTTCTGTGGATTCCAAAGATAAATGCCTGCTCTCAAGCCATTCCCAGGGTAGTGAAAGAAGTTTCGAGCAAAGGGGGCCGGATTGCACTGCAGCAAGATCTGCAGCCGAGGTCTGCACAGGTTGTGATAGGAGTGACAGCAGTTGAGGCCATAATCCAGTGCTGGGGGGTGAGAGAACTGCTAGGAGAAGGTGAACGCTCCATCCTTGGTGTAGTCTGTAAGCTCCACTCTGCTTTTTTGTTTTGTTTCTGTTTTTGATCTCTCAGTCTATAAATCATCTCTACTGGAAGGCAAAGGGTACAGCCATGCTACCTGAATTCCACTTCCAGCTTTTCCTCTTTCTCGTTTTGTGACTGTGAGCCGATTATTTCTCTGTGCTTCCATCTTATAAAAAGAAGAGAGTCACAGTTCCTACTTGGCAAGAGCATGTGAGGAAGAAGAAAACACATGGGAACTGTACTGCCTGGCACGCCACGAGGCTCACCGTTACTCATTTTGATAGCTAATAAGATGAGGATGCCGGAACATGATCATCATGTTATGTTTTAGCTTCTCTTCTAAAATGCTCATTTCTTTCAAATAAAATTTAACTTTTTTCTCTTCCTTCCAGCTCCAAGAGGAAAGCGAGGATGGAAAACCTTTTATGCCGTCCTGAAGGGAACAGTTCTTTACTTGCAAAAGGTAAAATTCAATGGATGGAAAATAAAACCCACAAAGCTTTATGAGAATTGCCCTCCAAATGCACTGTACAAAAGCTCACATCAGATACCCACAAGACTGCTTGAGTTCATTATATGTGTTTTTTTGTTGTTGAAATGTTTGTTCACATGCACATGTGTGCACGATGCACACTCAAACAGAGGAATGAATGAACTGCGTCCTTTGGTTCATTTGTAACTGTTGAGCATACATTAGTTAGCCCTCAAATGGTCTGCTCAGATATTTACACTAGATTAAGTTATAGCCTTCATTCTGTATGTTATTCATATTGATGTGAGTCCTGTGTAAAGGTAGACACATTCATTTTCATGAGTCCTGAAACTTTTGGACTTAAGAGTAAAGATGTATTCCAAACCACCAGGGTCTACTCCTTGACAGGATCTTTTTTTATAATCTCAGACTCTGGTAATCAGGGTAGGGGCCCCCTTATAGCTTCTGCTTCTCTGAAGGACAGTTTTTCCCTGGCTCTACACAGGTAGAGATAGCAAACTTCTGTGCTGAGGGATTTTCTGTTTCTTTGCATAGCCATCCTAAAGTTTATGAGGGAATATTTAGTTGTAGGTTTTTTTTTGCAGGGGGGCTGAACTAGGGATTGAACTCAGGCCCTTGCGCTTGCTGGCCAGGGAAGTGCTTATTCTACTGAACCATCTCCCTGGCCCTTTAGTTGTAGTTTTTAATTGCAATTATAAATAAGAAAAATCCAAGCTATTTTTTTCCACTCTCTCCTCTCATTCCCAATACAAAATTCTTCAGTCATCCCCAATTCTCCAGCAAATACCAGCTGGTGTCTTCTAATTCAGCTGTGTTCTGACAGCACCTGCGTTGAGGAAGTGTCAGATCCCACAGATTGGGCTGCAGTCCCAAGACACTGCCACCCACTTGAGATATCGTCACAAGCAGCAGATTGTTACCTATCCTGCTGACCCATGAGCTGTAAATCAGGAGTTCTATGACCCCACCATCCTAACCTTCTCAGAATGGCTCACAGAAGTCAGGAAAACATTTTAGGTTTATTTGCCTGTTTATTGGAAATGATACGACAAAGGATACAGATGAATGCCAGATGGAAGACATACACAGGCAGGATATGGGAGAAGGACACAGAGCTTTCCTGCCCTCTCCAGGTGCACCTCACTCCAGGATCCTCCATCTGTTCAGTCCCAAATGCTCTTCTGAACCCAGCTCCTCTGGGTTGTAATGGAGGCTTCATTATGTAAAGTGATTGATTAAACACCGACATTTATTATCTGAATGGTGGCCAAGGGGATTGGGGCTTGTTGCTCTTAAGTCCCAATTTGGCCTTTGTGGCTACTGTAGGTCTTTGTCCTGGAGCTGTCCAGGGATCACCTGCCTCAGTCATCCCATTATCGTACAAGTGATCTATCCATCTGGAACTTCCAGAGGTTTCAGGAACATGTACCAGGAAATGAGCATGGGGTCCCACTATATGTACTCTATTTTTTGAGGCAGGTAAACTGAATTGTCATCCTGATTGGCTTGACAGCTGCCTGAGGTATTAGGAAAGCACATTTTTAGGCATGTCTGGCTGGGTCATGGAGGCGTGGCCTTGGGGTACTGAGTCTGGTTCCCTTTCCCTCTGGCACCTTGCCCCTGCTTTGCTTCCTGGCCACCCCGAGCTAAGCCGTTTTGCTTGGCCAGGCCCATCTGCTGTGGTAGTCTGCCTTGGAGCACCCACCATGGACTGAACCCTCAGTTGTGAGCCAAAACAGAACTTTCTCCTTGAAGTGATAGCTGTCAGGTATTTTTGTAGTAGTATCATGATACATGATAATTACATTCATCGTGGTGCTGTACATATCAAATCATGATAATTTTTTAAATTCCTCCCACCCTCTGTTCTAGGTGTGGGAAACAATGTATTTATTTATACAATTTATATATGCACATAATTTATTTATATGTAATGCCACATTTGCATTTTCCTTGTAATTAGTCATGTTGAGCATTTTTCAGTTTTTATTTTGGTCATTTGTATGTCTTTAGAGAAATTTCTATTGGAGTTCTTTGGTTTTTCTAATAGGTCACTTATTTTTTTTTTTTTGCAGTTGAAGTGAGATGTTCTTTATATTTTTTAGGTTGGTTGCTTATCATATGTACTACAGATATTTTCTCCCATTTCCCAGGTTACCATTTCAGAAAATTGCTGATCTCTTCTTCACTGTCTAGAAGCTTTTTAGTTTAATACAGTTGTAGCTGCCTTTGATTTTATTAAACGTGCTTTTTATGGCCTCGCTCAAATCATTGCCAGCCTCAGTGCTGCAAAATTTTTGTCTTGTGTTTTCTTCTAAGAATTTTGTGGCTTTACATCTTCATTACATCAATCCATAATCTGGTGTTTTTTGTTTGTTTGTTTGTTTTTGCGGAACCAGGGATTGAACTCAGGCCCTTGCGCTTGCTAGACAAGTGCTTATTCTACTGGCCATCTCCCTGGCTCCCTTAATCTGTTTTGAATTTGTGTGTGTATATGTGTGTTTGGTGTAATATGTGGATCTACTTCCATTCTCACATGTATGTAAACAGTTTCTTAACCACCATTTGTTGAAGCTACTGCATTTTCCACACTGTATATCACTGGCATCTTTGTTGAAGATTATTTGATCATGCATACGTGGGATTTCCTGGGCGCTCTATTCTCTCTGGTGGTTTGTTTTGTGATCTTACCATACTTTTTTTTTTTATACCGTTGCTTTAAAATAAATTTTGTAGTCATAAAATGTGAGTCCTATAACATTTTTATTCTGTCCCTAGATTGCATTTCGCTATTTGGCGTTCTTTATCATACTGCATGAAGTTAGGAATATATTTCTACATCTGGAAAAAAAATGCCTTAGAGTATTGATGGAGTTTGCACTGAATCTGTATATTGTTTTTGAAGTGTTGACATTTTTATAGGTCAACACTATGTCACCCAATCCTTAAATGCAGCATGTTTTTCTTTTATGTCTTCTTTATTTTAACATTGACTTATACTTATCAGTGCATCTGTCCTTGAGCTCCTTGCTCAGGCTTATTGCTTAGTGTCTTCTGTACTTTTTAATACTGTTCTAGATAAGCTACTAATTTTCTTTTTAGGTTGTTCATATTTTCAACATAGAAGTGCAACTGGTCTTTTGTGTTAATTGTGTATTATACAACTTTGCTGATTTTATTCTAAAAGATTTTTGGAAAATTGTTAGGTTTTCTATGTATACATCAAAGATCACATCAGAAAATTCATAATTTGTGCAGTGCATTTAGTGTGAAGAAACACTGGATCTTTCATGTACTTTTGATGTACAATTTGTTAAGATAGTCATTTGATTTTTCCACCCCTTGTTCTGATCATGTAGTGGATTGTGTTGGCTGATCTCCATATAGTGAACTCTTCTTCCGTTCTAAAGGTAACTCCCTTTTGTTTCTGATGAATGGTCCTTTTAATGTACTGTTGAATTCGGTTTGCTAAGACTGTGGTTAGTGTTTGTACATTTGTATTTATGGGGTTGTTAGCTATAACCTGCTTCTAGTGTTTTGTTTTGTTCGCTGGTTTTGTCATCAGGGGTCATGCTGTCCTTGTGAGTTTACAAGTATTCTCTCCTCTTACGGCAGTAAGTCTTTAACCGTTTCCAGAATTTGTTGGTAGAGACATCTGGTCCTAGACTTATTTTTCTTTGGAGGGCTTTGATTGCACTTTCAGTCTCCTATCTGATTACAGATTTGTTCAGATTTTCTATTTCTCCATGATTTAATCAGTAGGGCTTATTTTTCTAGTAATTTATGCATTTCTTTTAAGTAATTCAGTTTGTTGCTCTATAGGTATAATTGTAATTTTTATAGTTCTTTCACTTTTGTAGCATATTTGCATTGTCTCCTCTTTTACTTCTGATTTTAATTGCTTTTCCTGTCTAGTCAGTAGTTTGTCAATTCTCTTCAAAAAACAGTTGCTTGGTTCACTTACTTTTTTTCTATTTTGAATTCTCTGTATTCTCTTTAATTTTTCCTTACATTGCTAATTTGGTACTAGTTCATTTTCTAGTTACTTTTTGTATAAAGATGAAGTTGTTTGAGATCTTTTTTTAATGTAGGTGTATATTTATAAACTGAAGTTTTTGTGTGTTGAGTGTCTATTTTCATTTGTCTTGATATTTTCCATTTCTATTTGAGTTGTCCTTTGACCCACTGCTAAATGAAGAGCGTGTTGTTCAGTTTCCAGGTATTGGTGCATTCTCCACGGAAACATCTGTTATTTTCATTCCATTGTATTTGGGAAATCACAGTTGTGATTTCAGTTATCCAGAATATTTTGACGTGTTTTGTGACATAATGTAATGTTTCATGTGTACATTTAAAAAAATGTATGTCCTGCTGCGGTCATGTGCTGACCTCTATGTATCCGCCAGGTATATTTGGCCTCTGGCATTGTTCAAGTCCCCTGTCTCCTCACTGATCTGGTTTCATGTTGTGTCTGTTATTGAAATGGAATATGGGAGTCTATTGTGTTTGTTAATTTTTCTATTTAATGGTGTCATATATATAGATAATTGGATGCTTATATATTTATGTATGTTGGATATATGTTTATAACGATTATATCTTCCTAGTTAATTCTTTTCTTTATATAGTGGGCTTTCTTTGCCTCTTTGACAGTTTTGACAGAAAGCTTGTTGTATCTGATATAAATATGGCCCACCCCTCTTCTCTTTTGATTATCACTTGTGTGAATTCTCTTTTTCCATCATTTTCTCTCTATGTCCATTCTGAATCTAAAGTATCCAAAGTAAATCCCTTAAAAGTAGCAGATAATTGGGTCTTTTAAAAAATCCATTTAGTTATTTTGCTATTGTTCTTTACTGGGAAGTTTAGTGTTTATGTGTAAGTTAATATCAATAGGAAACTACTTATTAGTAATGTTAGAAACTTTTCCTGTTTGTCTTGGTTGTGTTTTTTATTTTCCTTTCCTCCTC